GAGATAATTAAATGTGGACAGCAAAGAAAGCTTTTATAAATGCCACCAAATAGTATTGTTCTCATAACGTTTTCTACCTTCAAAGCATTAATGGAACACCAAATTTAAGAAAGATTTTAAAAAAAGAAAAAAAAAATGAAAGTCCTCATTTGGCCTTCTCAACCAGCTTAGTATGGGGCCACGACGATCTGATTTCCCTGAAGATAACAGACTCACACTGTTAGGACAAACGCGTCTTTGATTCCAGATGCCGTACATGTCTCAGGATTTGCAGGATTAAGATTGATTCTGAATGGGGGCTCATCACTTTGTCTTCAGTGTTGTACGGATTTTTTTTTTCCCTTTACAACAATCAAAAGAGCTCTTTGTGACATGAAGTAAATAGATACTTTCCTTCGGGCTTTGTGTCCAGGATGAGAACAGCGCCATTCAGCAGCGAGTCTGCAGAGGGTGTCCTGGTTCTGCTGCTGACTGTATCTTCCTTCACTATCCAACCTCTCGTCTGTAACCTGAAGAACCTGATTGCGTGTATCACTGAATTGCCAGGACAAGTTTGAGCTACTGAAAAATGATTATTTATTGATTATTATATTATTAATATTAAATTATTATATTATTGGTGGCCTGCTGGCACTGTTAGTCCCAGTACTCAGGAGAGGCTGGAGGATCAGGAAGGAGTTCAAGGTCAACCTTGGCTACCTACACAGTTTGAGGGTTGCCTGGGTTATATGAGACTTTGTCTCAAAAGGCCAAAAACAAATTATTTGCTTACTTGTTTAATTTTTTGTTTGTTTTTTAGAGATAGGATCTCTCTGTGTAGCCCTTGCAATCCTAGAACTTTATAGATCAGGCTGACCTCAAACTCTTGTCTGACCTACCTCTGTCTCCTGAGTGCTGGGATTAAAATTGTGGGCTACCATACCCCATTCTTTTTTTTTTTTTTTAATATGTTCAATTTTGTGGCAGAGTATATTGATTCTTTATTAATCGTTGTTATTTTTGCATGTTTTAATCATTGTGTTCTAATGGTAAGGAGATTTTATGAACGGGGAGAGATATCCAGAATGCTGAGTCTGGGCAAATGTCGTGTCTGCATGGGGAATGTGGCAGGGCCACGCTTCTGTGGTTAGAAAAATTCCAAGGCCTGATTTTGAGTTCTAAAGAATGTGAATGGCTCTGCTCGCGTGCTCAATAACATGGGGCTTTGTTTGCTTCTTGTATTAGCTTAGCAAGCATTTGTTGAGTAAAGCTTTCCCACCGTACATTTTCCTCTTCCTGGAAGTGGCTCTTTGCTGTTTGTTCGCTAGGCGTTTTGAAGTGCCTTCCTACAGTGACTGTTTGTGGGGTTAGTGCTTTGCTATTTAAAGTGTTCTCAGAGGGCCAGTAGCACAGGTATCAAACGTGATAGGAAGACAGACTCTCGGGCCATATTCCAAGTGGGCTGAACTCAAACCTGTATTTTAACAAGGTCACTAATTGATTCTGTGCAGGTTGAAGTTTAACAAGCACACAGATGACTGTTATTGTCTGTGCATGTGTAACAGAGTACTTACTCGGTACTTTCTGATATAGCGATATCCTTGAAAGATGATTCTGTCTTTAAGACCAGAAGAAGAAAAAGCCCTAAAACACAAGAATAAATACTCTGTCCACTAAAGTTCAGGACTATCAGAGGCTAAGTTGTTTTCATGCCTGCTGAGACTTTCCTGACAGGTTTGCAGTGTTTTGAAGATCTGTAGGAGAGAAGCTGGTGTACAGTCTTCTGCGTCAGGACATTTTAGCGCAGAGATGCCTTCTGTTCCCTTTTGGTCAGGCAGATGTGGAGCTAGCTGTGTGTGCAACCCACAGACAATAGCTTGTCATCATCAAGTTCCTTGCTTAGTTTTGCCAAGAGACTATCACGGTGCTCTCATTAATCTATCCAGATCCTTCCTTCCTTCCTTTGTTGGTTTCTTCGAGACAGGGTTTCTCTGTGGTAACAGCTCTGGCTGTCCTGGAACTCACTCTGTAGACGAAGCTGACCTCAAACTCATTGAGATCTGCCTGACTGTGCCTCCCAAGTGCTGGGATTAAAGGCGTGCTCCACCACCACCTGGCTCCAGGTTTTCTTTCTTGTGTTGTTTAACTACTTTGAAGTTTAAGGAAAAGTACTTTGGGATCTATGTGTTTTCTGTTCCTGATACTATTTTATTTCTCTTAAAGTACAGGTGTGCCTCAGGAGCAAATAAATAAATAAATAAATAAATCTGAGTGTTGATTGGCCAAGGCTTTGTGCAGTGTTTACAAAGACCACATTTTGTATTGTATTAGCTCAGAGTCATTTCAGTGGCTTAGTAAATGAGAATAGATTTTTGTCTTTAAATATCATAACTTTAAAAATACTATTAATGTTTAAAAATAGAGTTAGTGTTCTTCTAAGGGCTTTCTTTTTATGATTATGCCTTCATTTATTTCAGCACCATTTGTAGTAGCACAACCACTAGCTGTGTTGGCTTGGGCAAGTTTACTCTTTCCCAATCAAGTATTAGCCATTCCTGACCCAACCTACCGTCCAGGATGCTATGAGATAGACCACATTCAGGGTATTTCTTGAATTTAAATGTCCTCAATTACAAGATCAGATGATTCACGCCTTTTTGGGGGGATGGGGTTATTGAAAGACTTGAGGTAATGTAGGTAAGACAGCTAACATGACTCTGACACAGGAAACAGTACCCAGTGCAAGCACTAGCTGCTTCCCCTTTCCCTTGATCTCCTCCATGTGTGCACAGTTATTCTAGGTGTGGCTCTTGCTAAAACAAGATTCCCGTTGCATTCTTCTTCCATTGTATCAAAGCTGAATCTCTGAGAGAGTAAACTTCTTTATGACAGAGACCTTGTTTTGTTTACTGTGACATCTTTGGCGCTTAGCCTTAGTCCTGTACTGAGTGCTTGATGGATGAGTGAATATGCTTGAATAAATTTAGAGGGTGCCTTTGAAGTTTATAGACATCAGATGTACTCAGATAAAATTAAGTCATTAAAAAAATTTACTTGTCCAGTGAAATGGCTCAGTGGATAATGGCATCTGACTAGAGTTTAATCCCGGAAACCATGGCTGGAAGGAGAGAGCTGACTCCCACAAATTGCCCTCTGACATTCACAATAAAAAAAAAAAAAAAAAGAGCACACACTTTAATTCCAGCACTTGGGAGGCAGAGGGTCTCTGAGTTTGAGGCCAGTCTGGTCTATGTAGTGAGTTCTAGGACAGCCAAACCTACACAGTGAGACCCTGTCTCACAAAACACCAGCAACAACAAAAACAAACTAGCAAACAAAGAAAAAGAAAACCTAAACTTTCATTAAATAACTGTGAAGATGGGTCCATCAGAAAAGTGCCTGCTGCCCTACAAGCAAAAGAATCATAGTTCAGATCCCCAAAACCCAGGATAAAAGCTGAGCTCGATGTCACATTCCTGTAGTCCCTAGTACTGAGGAGACAGAGCTGTCAGTTCCCTGGAACTCACTCATCAAACAGCCAGCTTAACCAAATCAGTGGACTCCAGGTTCAGTGAGAGACCCTGTCTCAGAAACATAAAGTGGAGGACGATTGATGAAGATACCTAAAGTTGACCTCTGACCTCCCTTATACACATACACACACCCTCACATATATACACCACACACACAAACACTTGGTAGCTAGTCTACGCAGGTACTGTTCTAGCCATTGGGTGTGCAAGTGGTAAAATAGACTCAGGGGCTGTATAGTTGGTTCAGTGGTTAAGAGTATTGCTTCACTTGCAGAGCTCCTGAGTTTGATGTGCAGCACCCACACTGGAAGGGCTTAAAACTGACAACTGCCTGTAACTATCACTCCGGGAGATCTGATCCCCTGCCTGGCTCCCTTGGGCACCTGCGCACACACATGTATATTGACACATACAGAGACTAAAGATAGAATGGATCTGTTTAAAAAAAAAAAAAAGACCTACGGTCTTATCCTCACGAGATCCTGTGTTTTCTATGGAGAGAGGGTTATATGGAGGAAGGGCAGTAAGTGCATCTACAAGGCTGTGGTGTGGCAGGGCTGGGAGGCTGTGTTTGGGAATGAGGGCTGCCACTTTAGTTGGAGGCCTCTCTCAGAGACTTGACCTCTGAACTGCAGCAGCAGTGGCAATGCCCTTTGATTCTTATCGTGAGGCTTGAGTAGCAGTGCTGGAGCTTCGACATCAAAAGGCTAGAGACCATCAAGTTTCAAATATGTGAATCAACACTGGCTTCCTGACACTTCCCCCGCAGCGCTTCTCTGACTTCTCACCCCCAGTATAATGGTTTTACTTCCTACTTTCAAGATTGCTGAGCATTCAAAATCATGTTTCTCAGAAGAAAAGTTGTTTTGAAGAGCTTAAAATCAGATGCCTCTGAAAGAGGTTGGAGTTTGGTATTGCATCCTGAAACCTAAAGGGCATCTTTTGTGTGGTTGTTTGGGCTGCATACTTATTCTTGCTGTTGTCAACTCTGCTAGAAAATGATCAGAATTCTGCATTTGCTCCTCCTAATGGAGAAATCTTCATGCTAAGAAATGTGAGGAGGGAAAACAAAAGAGATTTGCGGAACTTAATAATCCAGTCATCTCTGGAGTATGGGATTCCTGCAAATCTTGCATTTTCGATTCACCCTGTGAAAGGACAGTATCCAGATAAGGCCCTGTTTTAGGGAGCATGAAGGCATATTTGCTCTGTACAGCTCTGAGCCTTGAATTTAACTGTGGTATGTTTCATTACGTGGCCTTGGTAGATACTATTTTAAGCTAGTCTTTCATAACTTAAGGCATTAATAATTTATCCAGGATGTATAGGTAAAATATTTTTGTGCTTTAATGTAAGGTCTTCTGTTTAATGGATTGGAAGTCTGTTGGTGATCAAATCCAAATATATTAGTCTTTTGAGGTTTTTGGGTTTGGCCTTTAGCAAGGTGTTTTGCTTATAACAGTCCCACCCCCCTCTTCCTTTTAATAGGGACATCATGACAACAGAGAAGAGCTTGGTGGTTGAAGCTGAGGATTCTCAGCACCAGCAACAGAAGGAAGAAGGTGAGGGAGCCACAAACTCAGGCCAACAAGAAACTCAGCTGGAAGAGGCTTCCCAGCCGGCAGCTGAGGGCGCTAATCAGTGTGAGCCGAAGCTGAGAGCATCCAATGGGGACACTCCGACGCATGAAGACTTGACCAAGAACAAGGAACGGACGTCAGAAGGCAGAGGCCTGTCACGACTGCTCTCCTCGTTGCTCAAAAGGCCCAAGTCTCAGGTTTCTGAAGAAGAAGGCAGAGAAGTAGAGTCAGATAAAGAAAAAGGTGAAGGCGGTCCAAAGGAGACAGACTTTGGAACCAGCCTTGATGAAGACATCATTCTAAAGGCCCCTATTGCAGCTCCTGAGCCTGAACTCAAAACAGACCCATCTTTGGATCTTCATTCACTAAGCAGTATAGAGACACAGGTAAGGCGTTCGCCTGTGGGGGGAGAGTATAATGAAGATACATTATATCTGTACTTTTCATAGAAGAGTATAATGAAGATACATTATATCTGTACTTTTCATAGAAGAGTATAATGAAGATACATTATATCTGTACTTTTCATAGAAGAACATTTGCTATTATTTTTTTATGAGTCAGTTGACTTAGGCATTGATAGCGATAAATAGCATAAGGAGTTTCTGCTCTAAAGAAATTAATGTAATCAGTTGAAACATGACTTTAAAAAAATATGCTCTATAAATCAAAGAAATGAAGGAACTATCAGATGAGTTTATTCAGTCCGTGTTATCATCTTGCTGTGACAACAGAACAGATTAGAGTTTTAATGAGAGAGCAAGGAAGAAGTGAGGTGGTTCCGAGTTCATTTTGGTGGAATTAGGGATGGGATAGTTACCAGCCAGTGTGGCCCTTTTGTGAAAAATCTTCGTTAATTCATGTGATCAACCTGAGCCACGCCTGCCCTAGTTGGGCTCTATGCTAGGGAGCGTGTCACTGCAATGTTAATTACGTTCCATGTGTAATGGTTTTACATTTTTTAAATCACATTTATTTATTTATTTGTGCATGTGCGTATGTGCATGTTTGAACATGCGTGTATCATAGTGTACATATGGAGACCAGAGGACAACTCTGGGAAGTCAGTCTCTTTTTTTTCCACAGTGTGGCCTTCAGGAATCAAACTCAAGTAGCCAGGCCTGGCAGCACTTGCTGCTTCCTGATAAACCATCTCATTGGCCCCTCCTGTAGTGTGTGTTCATGCAGGGCTTTAACCTTGCCACAGTGTAATTAAACATGAGTTGTTCTTTTCTCCAAAAAAATACATAAAAGCACAACTAGCTTAATTCAGACTGTCTTCTGGGAATCTTACTTGTTTATAGCCTTGCTGCTTACAAAGAGTTATTTTCAGATTTTACTTCTGTAGCTTTTGAACATTGTCTGGATTGTTCAGTCCTGTGTGTGCTTCTGTGAAAGGTCTAAAGAGGTATATAGTTTCATTAGGATTTTCTAAAATTATTACATGTGTTTCTGGAAATATTACTTGTGTGTTCAGGGTGTCAAAGGCTGACTTTAGGATGAAATCATAATAGGTGCTCGCTGTTAGTGAAACAATGTTAAAAACTATACCCCGGGTTGGATAGGAGACTCAGTGGGTAAGAAGGCTTGCTGCACAAGCCTGGTGACCTAATTCAAATCCCTAGAACCCCCATGAAACGATGAATGTGGTAGCACAGATCTGTAATCCCGGAATTCCTTTGGAAAGATGAGGGCGGAGACAGGAGTGTAGCATAAATTCTAATTGTTCTTAATAATCAAAACTACATACCAGCCTGTCAGCCACCTCCTGAATCTAATACAGCAGGCAAGCAATTCAATCTTTTTCTTTCTTTCTTTCTTTCTTTCTTTCTTTCTTTCTTTCTTTCTTCCTTCCTTCCTTCCTTCCTTCCTTCCTTCCTTTCTTTCTTTCTTTTTTTTAATAAATGCCAACCATGTATTGTTTTGGAAGAAAAAAATTCATAGAATTTAGTTAAAACTCATTTCAATAATGTGTTGAAAGAAAGAAAATAATCCAGTATGACTTCTGATCCCAGCACTTAGTAGACTGAGGCAGGAGAACTACAGGTTTGAGGCTAGTTAGCTGTCTTTGATAATAATAACCCAAAAATGTAAGAAAATATATGCTAAACTTGTTAATGTAGACCAGGCTGGCCTCAAACTCACAGAGATCTGCCTGTCTCTAGCTCCTGAGTTCTGGGATTAAAGATGTGTGCCACCACCTTCCAGCTTCTGTTTGTGTTTTTATTGGTGGGGTTCTGCTTACTGTAGGTAGGAGTGTGTAACCTGTTTTGTGAATGTCTTTTCACTGACTTGGTGTGGTGGATGTGCAGCCAGCTCAGGAAGAACACAGAGAGGATCCGGAGTCTGAAACGAGGGAAGAAGGTATTGAAGAGTGCTCCAGGGCAGGCGTGAAGGAGGACCCCGAGTCAAAAGCGGAGAGAGAACCCGAGGCTTCGCAGAAGCCAGTCAGGAGGCACCGAGACATGCACTGCAAGGTCTCTCTGTTGGACGACACAATTTTTGAGTGTGTGGTGGAGGTGAGTGTGTTTTAATCCCAGAGTCAGAGCTACAATCGTGTGGCGTGTGGGGCTAGTAAAGATAAGGCCCACTCTGAGGACCATTCTGTGGACAGAAATGTTAACAGTGGCATTCTGGAGATGAAGTGGTAGAAAAATTTCCTCCTCCCTGAATCTGTCAAGGTCTTGAGATTTAAGCATGTGGTTACTTTTATAACTTTAGAATCATTTTGTTTTTCAAAAGATTGTGTGTGTGTGTGTGTGTGTGTGTGTGTGTGTGTGTGTGTGTGTAGTATTTCTCTATGACCAGATTTCCCAAGGTAGGCTGAATTTCTGATACTAGGTCCAGCTATCCCCATAATTATGTTTGGAAATGAAATCTCTAGATGTCTCAGGATAAAAGCACCTGCAATTCAATTGTAAGTTCAAATCCCTAGAACCCACACAAAGCTGGCTGCATTAGAATCTGTTATTCTTGTCTTCCTGCAGTGAGGTGTGTACAGAGACAGGAGAATTCCTTCAAGTTCGTGGGCAGGTAGCCTGGTGTGGGCAGAGACAAAATGAGAGATGTTTCAAATAAGGTACAAGGCAAGGGACTGACACCTGAGGTTGTTTTCTGAGCTCCACATGCATGCCATGGAACTCAAACACCATATATACATGTTATATACACACACGGGGTGGGGGCAAATAATTAACGTAGAAAGTAGTTATGAGGCTGGAGAGATAGCTCAGAGCACTTGCTGCTCTTGACGTTGCAGAGGACTGAGTTTGGTTCCCAGTACTCACAACTTTCTATAACTCCTGTTCTGGGGATTGGGCACCCGCTTACAGCCTCCTCAGGCACCTGCAAACATGTGGTGTACACAGTTTCATGTATACACAAACACACATACACACACACAAACACACGCACAGCTCCTGTTTAACATTTCTGTTCCCCCTGATCTAAGCCTCAATCAATCTGATATATTTTTAGTCCCATGAACTAGACTATAGAAATATAAATCATATGCCATTTCTTTTTTTTTCCCAGTTAGAGGGAGACTGAAATATAATGCCACATCATAAAATCTCTAATGTTTTATGAAAGAATCAGTAATTGAATCAGGATTTAACAAATGTCAGTTATTCAGCTTCTTTCTTTGTTCCTTCAGGATGAACTAAAGCATCTGTTAACAGTTGCTTTAACTTGCCAGTAGTTGCCAGTTGTGTTGTGGTTGCTATATGCACAATTATTGCAAGTACTAGTAGCTTTTATGGACAAAACATGTCATTCATGTGCTTGAGTTTTATTATTACTGATCAGATTTTGTACAATTATAAATGTATCCAACCACAAGCATTTTAAAGTATTATGTATAGAGTGTGTGTGTGTTTGTGTTTGTGTGTGTGTGTGTGTGTGTGTGTGTATTCTATATATAATACTGTTGTTTTTGAGACAGGGTTCTCTGTGTAGCCCTGGCTGTTCTAGAATTTTATTTGTCCAGGCTGGCCTCGAACTAACAGAGATCCGCCTGCCTCTGCCTCCCGAGTGCTGGGGTTAAAGGCGTGTGCCACCACTGTCCAACTATATTTTTAATTTTGTAGTTGTTGTTGAGATGGAGAGTCATGTAGTTCGGGCTGGTCTTGTCATGTAGCCTAGGATGATCTTGAATCCCTGAATCTCCTGCCTGTGTTACCCAAGTGCAAGGATTACAGGCGTGTGCCACTATGCCTGATTCGAACTGTTACTTCTATGACAAGAAAATATAAATATTTGTTCTGATATGGGTTACTGAGGGTAATAAACAGCCAGAAGTTTTCAACAAATAAGTTTTAGCGATAAACTTTTTGATTGTTAGAACTCCTGGATTTGGGAATTATGAATGAAAGTGTTTAGGGACTTGTACCTGAATTCTCAAATTATTGACCCTCATTTAGAGTGAAATCAGAAAAAAGGTTAAATTTAATGTTATATAATGAGTTAACACTAAATGAACAATTATGCAAATTATTAAGTTATTTAAAATAACACATTAACAGGAGACTGTGTCAACTGTATATACTAAAAATATCTGTGTAGCTAGGGCATGGCTCAATATAGTGCATGTTCCTGACACCCGAAAGGCTCTGGGTTCATACCTGGAACTGGGAAGGAAAGATATGTAAATTTTGAAGTATTTTTATATGTATTTCTCAGAAGGCATTAACCTGTTTCTGGTTTTTTAGTAAATGGGTATAAAAATTCTTATTTTACAGTTGAAGGGCTAGTGATAATTGAATGACACAGCTGGATAGCTGGTAAATAGAGGAGCCAGGTTGTTGTTTTGGCTTTAATTCACAGCCTGTAAATTACGGCATGCTTCCTTTAGAGCTTAAGTGCCAGCTTTAGAAGTGGTTTGACTTTGTAAGAAAATGATTTGTAACACTGCTGAGTAACCACTATAACATCTAGTGTCTGTAGGCTGTTTGTTTTCTACCCCTCAGAAAGGGGTTTTAGGGAGCTCGGGTATAGCTCATTCTTAGTGAAACTTACTTTGAAAATAATTTCCACAGCCACATTATCATCTGTTTTGAAAGGTTGAGTTAGTAATTTAGTTGATCGTGGTAACTCGTAGTGACCAGTAGCGTGGCTCAGGAAATGCTGCACAAAAAAATTATTAGCGAATGAGAATGAATGAATGTGCTTAGCTGGGTGTGGCAGGACATGCCTGTAGTCCTGGCACCTAGAATCGAAGGCAGACCCAGGTGGTGGTGGTGCACGCCTTTAGTCCCAGTACTTGGGAGGCAGAGGCACACGGATCTCTGTGAGTTGTGAGTTCCAGGACAGCTAGAGCTACACACCCTCTCTTAAAAAACAAAAAACAAACAAACAAACAAAAAAAACCAACCAACCAACAAACAAACAAAAAATCCACCCAAACAGACAAACAAACAAAAAAGAATCTAAGATAGGAGGATCACAGAATAAGACCCTGGTTTAGGGGTGTGATTTTTTTTTTTAATGGAAGTGGAGAAAGAGGGTAGGTGGGATTTTACTTAGCATTGTGGCTATTTCCAAAGTGCTGTAATAATATGTTCTGTTTATAAGCTGACATATCCAGGAAGAGGGGGGTTTTATAAATCATGTTCTATTTAGATTGAGAATGTATTAATTACCAAAGGTAAAAAAGGAAATTGGAAAAGAACATTTTTTGAAAAAATTTGGTGATGAATACAGGAATAAGAACCCTTAATTAATGTTTGTGTATCTTCACAGAAACATGCTAAGGGACAGGATTTGCTTAAGCGAGTTTGTGAGCACCTCAATCTGTTGGAGGAAGACTACTTTGGTTTGGCTATTTGGGATAGTGCAACCTCTAAGGTAAGGAGACTGCAATATAAGCAGCTGGCAATTTCAGTTCTCATAATGGTAACAATGTCTGTGCCTGCTGCTCTCTTGTTGGTAACAGTGTCTGCCTGCCTATTGTCATGTTGGTAACTGTTGAAATAGGAGCGGCGGGGCTTCGTCCCCAACACCCCGGCCGCTTGGCTAGCTCATGCCCGAAATAACAACACACAAACTGTATTCATTTAAGAACTGCTTGGCCCATGAACTCTAACCCTTACAGGCTAATTCTCACACCTGGACTAGCCCATTTCTAATGATGTGTGTAAGCACCCCAAGGTGCGCTTACCGGGAAGAGTCTAGCCTCCATCCATCCTGGTGTCTCTGCTCCAGAGAGCAGAGCTGTCGGTCCCTCTGGAAGCAGAGCAGAGTCTGACCTCACTTCCTCTTCCGCCCAGCATCCTATTCTGTTTATTCCACCCACCTATGTTCTAAGCTATGAGGCCAAGCAGTTGGCTTATTATAATTAACCAATTACCTTCCTCCATCAGGTAACAATGTTTATAAGTGCTTCTCTAAGACACTGGTAAATTTTGTCTCAAATTTTCTTTCTTTTTCTTTTTTGAAGAGATTTTTCTTTTTAAAAGAGGTTTTCTTTCTTTTCCATTTTAAAGAGAGAACATTACAAATGTGCTTTTTTCATCATCAAGAGAAAATGCCTCCCATGCTTATTCCTACAATTTTAATGATAAGAAAATTGAAGCTCAGCACAATTATCCATATCAAAGTTGTACAGCTAATGAGTGGTGGAAAAGTTAAGATACCTGACCCCTATCCTTCACTGACTACAGTATTTGTTCTCAATTACAGCCTCTGTCTACCGTCACGCTCCCTATAATTAATGCTATTCCTTTATTTTAGACCCTTCAGTGATACAGGAATGACCTTAATTATAGGAAATGCAACGGTAGACAGAGACTATAATTGAGAACAAATGCTGCTTTATTTTAAACCCTTCAGTGGCCAAGTGGTGGCATGCGCCTTTAATCCCAGCACTTAGGAGGCAAAGGCAGGCGGATCTCCGTGAGTTGGATGGCAATTTGATCTAGAGTGAGTTCCAGGACAAGCTCCAAAGCTACACAGAGAAACCCTCTCTCAAAAAAAAGCAAAACAAAACAAAAAAGTTATAAATTACATGAATTTATTTTGTGGGGGGTGCGGTGGTCAGAGGATAACTTTTGTGAATTGGTTTTCTCCTTTTACCACAAGAGTTTGGGGGATTCGACTCAGGCTTGGCAGTGGTGCTTTTACCTGCTGAGCCATCTTACATCATAAGCAACTACTGGTTCTGAAAGATCGATCGCTCAGACTTTGAAGCTCCAACGTGATTGACACAAATCTGGATTTGCTTTCTCAGTGTCAGCTTGGTAGGGATTTTGGCCCCAGTCTTATACTTGCTTGGGATTTCTGGAAGGAAGAGCTGGGAAGTCTCCTAAAACAGTGGAGAATATAGAGCACTCTGCTGTGGGAGCAGACACCCTCTCCAATGCGATAGAAAGTTGCCATTAGTAAGCATTTGGGTTGCATATAAACTGAGGGTTTTCAGAGGTCCCACTAGACTTAGCATTGGTGTTTAATTCCCTTGCCTTTGGACCAAAGGGGAAGCAAAGAAAAAAAACATTCAGATACTTCCTTTACGACAAGGCTCAAACATGTATGTGCTTCATTTTTATGTGTGTGTCTATGCAAGTGTGTACGTATGTATGCATGTGTATAGAGGCCAGGAGGTTGACACTGGGTATCTTCCTCTTTTGCTGTTTACCTTGTTTTTGAGACAGGGGCTCTCAGTGGAGGTGGAGCCCCTGTC